AGGGAGGTAATTAGGGGAAAGGGAAATCACTGCAGTGATCTCTCCCGGGCCTTCCTCTTCAGCAAATGGCTCACAAGAAGCAACAAACAAACAAACAAACAAGCAAACAAAACCATTGAGCAAAGGAGCTATAATTGAGGTTGAAGCAAAGGGTGAAAGGAAGAGAACAGGAGAAGCCAACCTCTAGATTTTTTGCTTCCATGCGATTTGTGGGATATGAAAAGAATACGGAAAGAGAAGAGTTGGTTCTTATTCTCAAGGAGTTACAATCTAGTAGGAGAAATGGCATGCCCTTTGTGTTGGCTGTCCCCAAGACCACCCCCGTTTCAAAGATCTGCTGGAAGGATTCATAAGATTCAGAAAAATAGATCCATCTATATCCCAGTTACTAATCATTACGGCAAAAGGATACAGATTAAAATTAGTAAAGGAAAAAGGCACATAGGCAAAGCCCAGGAGAAACCAGGAGGGAGCTTCCAGGAGTCTTCTGCCAGTGGAGTCTCACCAGCGGGCTTAATTCTTTTTTTTTTTTTTTTTTTTTTTAAAGATTTTATTTGTTTATTTGACAGAGAGAGATCACAAGTAGACAGAGAGGCAGGCAGAGAGAGAGAGAGAGGGAAGCAGGCCGAGAGCCCGATGCGGGACTCAATCCCAGGACCCTGAGATCATGACCTGAGCTGAAGGCAGCAGCTTAACCCACTGAGCCACCCAGGCGCCCCAGCGGGCTTAATTCTCTAGCAGCTTTGTGTAACGACATGGGTGAAGTCTTGCCAGCAAGGGAAATACACCAAACCTTGGTATCAGGGATTTTAACTGGGGGTCAGTCACACCAGCATGGAGTACCCAGGTGACTGACCTTAACTATTCAGTCTCCTGTCTTCAAGAGGTCAAACACACTGTGACCCAGAGACTCAAGTATATTAAAAAAAAAAAAAAAAGTGTGAGCATAAGTCATATTGTTAGTATAAGTTATGATCAAACTGATGAGTGTAAGGCTAAAGCCTCAGGCATACAGTAACACTCTTATCAGGTAGGATAGAGGTTCAAAGGCCATCTCTCAAGAGCCCATCAAGGACCAAGTCTTTCTTTGGAATGTGCAGGATTTGAGTTACCCATGCTCACTGGGTTAACCCTTTATCCTGATGGCAGAAAATTTAACCTAATCCTACCCTCAGTTACTTCAGGTTTTGTTTCCATTTTGGTTTTGGTCATCATTTTGGATTTTAAATCCATCAATATAATATTCATTTACCTTTCTGTCTAGGGCCATTTTGAAGATCGAAGAGTTTAACAGGGCCAGGGCATATGTGGGAAAGACAGTGGATCTAGGACATCTGTTCATGATGGCGTACACAGAATGTGCCTTGCTTGCATTGGTTCTTCACTGCTGAGACCGCCTTCGGTCCCTGCACAAGGCATCCTTGTGCTAACAACGAGGTCACAAGTTATCCGAACCTCTCAGCTACTATGCAAGGTGCCGAAATCTTTTCCTTATTCCTCTGTAGCTATAGAAGATTAGGTAAAGGGGGCTTTCTCACATCTTCCTTGCCTAAACATGTATCATAACCTCGAAGAATACTACTCAAAAATGATTTTGTTAAAGTCTCCTGGGAGACCGGAATTTCTATTCATTACTACCATGGAAGGGGTACGCATGAGAGATCCTCACTGGCCTCAAATATTCACGCTCTCCTTGCAGAGCCCTTTCTCTTCTAGCAGAGGCAGATATTACCCCCCCTCTCTCAGAGGGATGGTAGGGGTGGGTGTTGGTTTAGAAAATCGCAAGCCATCCAGTTAGGCTGGAGCTTAGAGTAGATATGGGCCAGCTGTAGGAGCAGGCAGGGAGATCAGATAGGGCTGAAATTATGGAGAGCCTTGGATGAAGAAGGGAGTCAGAGCCATTATAGAACAAGAGTGGGAGATAGATGAGAGCGATAATTAAGGAAGAATCATCTGTCATAGTGTGGATCCCTATGAAATGTTTTTGCAACGCACTTGGGAAGACAATACCTAGGTAAGAAAAGCACACGATAGAAACAGTTAAAACAATAAATCCCTTTTCTCGAATTAGAAAGACCAGAAACCATATATAGTTGAACAAAGTGAAACACGTGATGGTTTTAACTACATGAGACTAGGAAGCCTAAGAGTATGGAAAATAATTTTCTCTAAAACTGATTATCCATGATGATTTAAGAAACTAAACTAGGGGGTTGTTATCAAATTGTGTGGAATTCTCCAAAAACAAACTTCCACAATTTACCCTCATTTTTTCCTTCTGCACCACCATCATCAAAGGGAATAAAAGGCACTTGTCTTTAGTCTGCTTGAATCCTGTATACCATCTCTGTAATGAACTATTAGCATATTAAATCATTAATTTATAAAGCAGAATCTGCTTTCCTAGGATATAAAGATTTGCAAGGTGCACCTACAAAAAGATGGGGTACAGAATGAGTACTGGGGAAAGAATGATGAACTTCATCTGGGGTGGTTTAGGGAGATAATTGGTAAGTCTGATTTTTAGGGAAAAGCATTCCAAAACAAAGGGAACAGCATGTGCAAAGCAGGGAGGTATTAAAATTGCTGTTATGCCCGAGTTTTCGCATCTGAGAGACCACCAAGGAGCCAACACCGATGTAATCACACGAGGGTTTATTTGACAAGCTTAAGCTTGGGCCCAAGTATACCCGACACAGCGGAGTAGGGACTTGGACCCCAAGGTGACATGCTTAAGCCTGGGCCCAAGTATACGCGATGCAGCGGAGTAGGGAGTTGGACCCCGAGCTTAGTTAAGGCAGGGGTATTTATGGGTTCCTGTTACTAAAGCAGGGTGGGGCTTCCTAGAACCAAAGCAGGGTGGGGGTCTCTGGAACCAAAGCAGGGTGGGGATCTCTGGAACCAAAGCAAGGTGGGGCTTACTAAAGCAGGGTGGGGGAAAGTTCAGCTCTTGGGCACAGGGGTCTGAGATGGCTGCCAGAGCTAAGATGGCTGTACCTACGCTAAGGCTAAACCTTGATTTTGATGGCCTTGATTTTTCTCAGCCTCCACAGCTGGTGCATAAAGTATGAGAGTAGAGGGAGTTTCAGCTTGAGAGGTATAGGATGGAAGAGGGATGAAATCATAGAGGGACGATAGGTGGGTTAAGAAATTTGAGATGGCCCCTATTTTCCTAAGGGTGGTCCTGGACCAACCAGATCATAGTCACCAGATGCTTCTAAAATTGGAATATGGGGGGGCACCTGGGTGGCTCAGTGGGTTAAAGCCTCTGCCTTCCTGGGATTGAGCCCCACATCGGGCTCTCTGCTCAGCGGGGAGCCTGCTTCCTCTTCTCTCTCTGCCTGCTTCTCTGCCTACTTGCGATCTCTGCCTGTTAAATAAATAAATAAATAAAAATCTTTAAAAAAAAATAAAATTGGAATATGGGGATGAGCCGAAGAGCCTGCTTTTAAGTAAGCTTGCCAGGTGATTCTTATGCAAACTAAGGTTTAAGTAACTACCACCATACAAAATAAATAGATAGCCCTTGAAGGTCATTAAGAAGAACTTCACTCTTGGAGGTCTATGGTGATTGGATTTAGGATTTGTTTGGGAAAGAGGCTAGTGGAAAAGGTAAGGAGAGTCAAGTTGCTCACCCTCATGCGATTTTTTTTCTCCCAGGTTCCTTCCAACTTTAACAAGATCTTCTGACCCTATCCCACTTTCCTCAATGATCCAGCACTATTTCATTTGTACTTAAAATGGCACTCACATACAATTTTTTTACATGTGTGTACAAAAGTTTGTCCCCCCCCTCCTTTTCTATACTTCAAGCTCCGGAAAAAATAATTTTTTTTTAGTCTCCACTCCCAGTATGGGGCTTGAACTTACAACCTTAAGATCAAGAGTCACATGTTCTACTGACGGAGCCAGCCTGGCACCCCAAATTTGGCCATTTTTTGAGTGAAAATGTGTGTCCCTTCTGTGTAAGCCTGTGTTTTGGGGGGCCGGATGAAAAAATTTTGAAGGAATTACTTGGACTTCAGTACTGAGATTTATTTTTATTTCTCAAATTGATGCCACATTCATATAATAAAGAGAGTTTCAATCTTTATATATTTGTTTCTTGGAGAAAACCATTTTTATTCATTTGAAAAGCAAATCACTGACTTTAAAAATTAATTTCACCCTTTTCACTGGGGGGAATCCTTTAAAAATTCCCGAGTTTGCAAGAGAACCTCCACCCTTATTCCTCATGTTCCCTCATTTCATAATGGAGAAGAGTGAATTCAGGTGGCACATCTATGCTGCCACCACAGCATCTTTCTCACACATTTCTCCATTTATAAAATTCTTCCCTTGTTTGCTCTTCACAATCTCTACTTCGTCATCCTTTAACCCTCCCACCATATTTACTCTTCCTACAGGACCCGGGTCTTCCGGCAGTAAAAGGAGACTTTTCGGAGCAGCTACTTAATTAACCGCGTTGAGTGCGCACGGTGGAGCTCCGCCCCATAGGAGGGGCTAACACTAGCGGACCGAATTAGTCGGTCTGTCATTAACAAATGATCCCTTAATCTTTTCAGAGGAGCGAAACACACACAAAGGCCCAATCAGAAGCCGCGGCTCTAGGAGTTCGGTGGGGGCGGGGCTGGGCAAGCGCCTTCCCACCTCCCAGCCTCCCGCCGCGGCCGTCGGAGCCTCGCGGGCTCGGACAGGCCCCGCCCCCTGACCAGGCGCGGCGGCTATTGGGCGGCGCGTTCCCTGCCGTCGCCTCAGTTGCTGGGAGAGGGTGGGCGGGGGCGGGGCTTGAGGTGGGCCGGGGGCCCAGGGAGAAAGGCGGGGAGACGAGGGCGGGCTGGGTGGGTTCGACGAGCGCCGCGGCGGTTGGCGAAGCGGACGGGGCGCAGCCTTCCCGGTGCGAGGAACGGTTCCCGCTGACAGATCCCCTTCTTCCGGCCGCGCCACCCGGGAGGCGGATCCCCGGGGCCTGAGGAGGCTTCCTCGGCCCGGCCCGCCCTCCCTCCCTCTCCCGCGGGTCACCCAAGCGGCCTGTGAGGAGGAGGCGGAGGAGGTCGTCGGGGGCGGCGGCAGGCGGAGACCGCGCTCCCCCTTTCCCGGCGGCGGCGGGGGCAGGACAATGGAGGTGGCTGTGGAGAAGGCGGCGACGGCGGCCGCGGCGGCTTCGGCGGCGGCCGCCGGGGGGCCCTCGGTGGCGCCAAGCGGGGAGAACGAGGCCGAGAGTCGGCAGGGCCCCGACTCGGAGCGCGGAGGCGAGGCGGCCCGGCTCAACCTGTTGGACACTTGCGCCGTGTGCCACCAGAACATCCAGAGCCGGGCGCCCAAGCTGCTGCCCTGCCTGCACTCGTTCTGCCAGCGCTGCCTGCCCGCGCCCCAGCGCTACCTCATGCTGCCCGCGCCCATGCTGGGTTCGGCCGAGACCCCGCCGCCCGTCCCCGCCCCCGGCTCGCCGGTCAGCGGCTCCTCGCCGTTCGCCACCCAAGGTGAGAGCCGGCCGTGGGCGCGGGGGAGCCCGGGGAGGGGCTCGGGGAGGCGAGCGCCCTTGTGCGGCGCGACCCGCTGTCATGTCGCAGCCGCCCGGGGTGCGCGGCGGGGGAGGGGCGAGGAGGAGGGTCTGTGTTGGCGGCGGTGACATGGAGGGCCCGCGCGCTCTGCAGCGTGCCGCGCGCCCCGCGAGCAACTTCCACGGGTGCTGAGGACTTGGCGGCGCCGCTGCCGCTCCTTCTGCTGCTCGGCGTTCTCCTCCAGGGTTGGGTGGCCCGGGCGACCCGCACTTTGGAAAACCTCTGTTGGAGTGGGCTCTAGTGGGTATCTCGGATTCTTTGCCGATTGCATCTTGTTAACTGCTACCCTCTGCCTCCCTAAAGCTTTGTCCGGGTCCATATGATCCTAATCATCTCGTGTATACCCACGTTATTTGAGCTGGAGGGGGGAAGGGAGGGATGAAGATGAAGTGATGGTGACTTTCTTCGGTGATTGATTACAGATCGGATGCCGTCTGTTTACTATCTTGCCTGTTTCAGGTTCTTTACCTTAACGAGGCAACGAGTCCCCGATTTTACTCCCTTCTGCTAGGGACAAAGGAACCAAAAGAAACGGCATTTTGTTGTCTTTTCTCATTGGAAGATTTTCTTTTGAAACGGTAAAGGGTAAGGAGAAATAGAACAAAGTGACTTGGGGTGCAGGCTTTTCTTGTATTTCGTAGAGGACAGCTAGAAATGTTGAAGTTACTGTTCTCTTTGTGGTATTTGTTACTGTATAATGAGACTTTTGACAGGTAGTTCCCTTTGCTAACGTTAACAGGTTTGAAACATTTAAAGTTAGTCGAAGTAAGTACAGTAGTTATTCTGGAAGAATGCTTGAGGATTTTAAATTGTAATAGTGCAAATATTGGAGCACCTCTTTTTAAAAAATAGAAAGTAACTGGAAAAGGGGGAATATTCATTTTTAATACATACTTTCTGTTAGAGGGTCTAGTTGATTCGAGATAAAACGCTAATTAAATAATTGAAGCTGGGTCAAGGGGTATATATAAAATTGATGCATAAATAGTGGTTTTAGACTCTTCATTTGATTATATGTTACAAACAGTACCTAGTTGAGGGAGCCAATTTTCCATGGGTTGCTCAGTTTCTGCAGGTCGTGCCAGGGAGGTACTGACTGCCCTTTGTTTCTATTTTTAGAAGATGTTTCTATAAGGTTCAGCCTTGGAAGATAGAGATAGTGTCTTCCACCAGAGCAAAGATCAGGCATGCACATGGTCCAGTTAATGTCTACTGGAGTGAAAGGCCGGCATGCTTACTGCCCATGATAAAAGATTGGGCTTCTCTAAGCTTAGGTTTCCTCCTGTGTAACACAACCCACTCCTGTGCAGGTGTCAGCTGGCCCTTTTCACCTTGTCTGGTGGGAAATGGAATTCTGGAAACCAGCGCAAAAATGTTGATGCTTTGGCTTATGTTATTGTGAGTAACTAATAAACCGCCCCTTGTCTCATCCCTGAGTCTTTGTATCTTGTACCAAATGGTAAGCTAGCTTGCAAGTAGGCTGAAGTCTCAGATCTTTCACAGTGTTTTCTCAGATGTGGCCCACCTGTGGAAATTTAGTATAAGTGAAACTTCAATCTTAGTTCTTAATTTTTAGACACATTTTAAGGTTTCGTTTATTTATATTTTAATTGGTCAAGCAGGCTGGTAGCCAATTAGGATCTGGGTTTTGCATAATTCTAGAATTAAGATTTATCATGTTCCTGGCCATGATGCTTAGACCTGAATGAATGAGAACATGGATAATAAAAACTCTGAAACTAAACTCTGAAGACATGTTTTCAATTTCAGATTTCTCAAAATGTTCTGTGTAATTCTAGTCTCTCAATGTATTTTATCTTGGTGTTTGTATTATCAGCAAGAGTTCCAAGAAAGCATTTAAATTAGAAGGTAATGTTTTTGTTTTTATACTAAGAAAGACAAAGTCTCTAACAATGATATTTTAAATACAGTACAAGAAAAGTTAGGGTTATGTTCAATAAATTAAAGATACTATCTATCCTGAATCTTACCGGCTTGAATATATTCTCCCTTCTCTCCTTGCAAACTTATTTTAATACTAGCTGAAGTAAAACTTGAGCCAGTACATTTCATAAATATATAGGGTTCATTTGATCACCTGTACTGCATTCTCCTAATGAAACTGTGGATAGTCATTGTGGGTCAGACTTTAATACCTGCAGGAGCTAAGCTAGCTATCTGAGTTAGAGACCTATGATCTTGGGGGTGAAATAATAGGAATGAGGGGGGAGGGAAAGGGAGAGGAAGCAAACTAAGCTCCAGCAGGTTGTCATGCAAGTCGTGCAAGAGAGGGGAGGACCAGTATTAAAGGATATATATATATATTTTTTTTTCTCTTAATGAGAAGTCTGAAGCCCGGATTTCTGTGAGAGCTTTCTCTAGTATTAGATATTGGCAAGTAAATAAAAAAAAACTAACATGCACACAGGCCCATTCTATAGGTCAAACAAAACAAGTTTTGAGGAGGCCACAATCATGTTGTAGTTACAATCTTCCCTTTTAGATTTAGATAGTGGTTTTCAAATTTATAGCTGTACTAGGGTCACTGGTATGTTTATTAAAAATTTAGATTTCTAGATGTGCCTGGGTGGCTCAGTTGGTTAAGTGTCTCCCTTCAGGCCAGGTCATGATCTCAGGATCCTGGGATCCTAGCCCTTACCCGGTAGCGGACTCTGTGCTCAGCAGAGAGCCTGCATCTGCCTCTTCCTCTGCCCCTCCTCCCTGCTTTTTCACACATACTCTCGCTCTGAAATAAATAAAAATCTTTAAAAATTTAGATTTCTAGGCCCACCCTCCAGAGAGCCCTGCTTGGTGTATTTTTAGAATTCTAGAATATAGTATTAAACCCTAGTGTTTCTTTAGTTCAAGCAGTATTATATTCCAAAATAAAATTGATCATAAGAGGATTCTTTAGGAAATTAAGACCAAAATTCAAGGTATAGAATAATAGTTTTCAGCACTATCAAGCCGAATTTTTCTATTTGGTAATTTTTGGTGCTCCCTTTAATCCTAAATGAAATTCATAGAAAATAAATCCTTCTAAAATATTTTTTTGTGAAAAAGAAATAAGGCTAACTTGTAATAACAAAAAGATATATATTATAATTTATAAATGCTCAGACACAATTATGCTAGTTCCCAACACTTCATTGAGAACATGGGTTGGAACTGTCCTTTTTAGGGCTGCCAGTTGGAAGGAATGAGGTTGAGTGACCACATGCTAAAGTTGGATGACTACCTCAGGTGTGACTGTCATTTTCTTAGTGTGAGGTTATATCGAGGAAAGAGGGAAGAGCTTAGAAAATAGATTTTCTTTAGGTACATTATAGGTACCTGAAGTCAGAAGACGAACTGATTTTAAAGAAGTGTTATAACATTGTGCAATATTTTGTGGCGTTCATGTAGTGTTCAGTAAGAGTTGCAAGCTCTAAGCTATTTTTTTCTTTTTAATTTTTTGTTTATATTAAATTAGCCAACATATAGTACATCATTAGTTTCAGATGTAGTGTTCAATAATTTATCGGTTGCCTTTTACTCCCAGTGGTCATCACATCATGTGCCCTCCTTAATGCCCATCACCCAGTTACCCCATTCCCTCACCCTAAGCTATTTTTACAAGAATACTGGACATACTCTTGAAAAGGGGCACATTATTTGTCCAGGGAGAGTAAAAAATAGGAATCCATCAGGGGTTTTGTTTTGTTTTGTTTTTAAGATTTTATTTATTTATTTGACAGAGATCACAAGCAGGCAGAGAGGCAGGCAGAGAGAGAGGAGGAAGCAGGCTCCCCGCTGAGCAGAGAGCCCGATGCAGGGCTCCATCCCAGGACCCTGGGATCATGACCTGAGCCGAAAGCAGAGGCTTTAACCCACTGAGCCACCCAGGCGCCCCGGAATCCATCAGTTTTCTTACACTTCTTTACTAACTGGTAGTCTATAACATGTAACTGTCAATTCTGGGATATAATTTCTTTGGGTTCTTGGTGAGAAGTATAAATCACCTTGTGAGTACAAGATACAGTGTCAGAGAAATAATAGTATTTAAGACAGATCCATATTGCCTGCCAGTTTTGTACATAAACAGTTCTATATATGGTATTCACCTGTTAATGGAAATTATACTATTGTTTTGAATTGGGGGCTATTATGAATAAAACTATTACAAATATTTGTAGACAAGTCTTTATGTGGATGTTTTCATTTCCTTGAGTAAATACTTAGAATTGGAATTTCTTGTTTGCATCATAAATGTGTATTTACACTGGTTGTACTGTTTTGCATTCCTTCCAGCAACGTATGAGAGTTCCAGTTGGTTCATATCCTCGCCAGTTTGGGTGTTAGTCTTTAATTTTACTCATTCTAGTATGTGCAAAGGGGAGTCTCATGGTTTTAATTTTCATTTCCCTGATGAATAATGATGAGCATCTTTTCCTGTGCTTATTAGTTATTACAGCTTTTTGGTAGAATTTCAGTTTGTCTTTTGTAGAATTTTAAAATTATGTAATTGGTTACATTATTGAAAAGTAAATATTCTTGATATACATTCTGTATCCTGGTCCTTTGTTAGACACATGTATTGCACATATATACTCCTGTAGCTTGCCTGTTCACTTTCTTAATAGTGTCTTTTGAAGAGCTGAAGTTTTAAATTTTACTTAAATCTGATTTGTCATTTTTTTTCTTTTATAGTTAATTCTTTGCCTACTCTAAGTTTACTAAGACTTTGTCCTTTCAGCACTTTTATAGTTTTGGTTTTTATATTTAGATGTATCCTCTATTTTGAGCAATTTTTGTATGAGGCATAAGAGTTGAGGTTCATGTTTTCAGCCATATGTTAAAGTACCATTTATTGAAAAGGGTACTTTTCCCATTATATCACTTTGGAATTTTTGTTAAAAATCAGTTGAACATATATGTAT